CATGCAATATCGGCACGGTACGCCTGGCTCTATCGCAACACGATCACCAACAGCGAAACCACCACGCTGCGGCCCACACCTGCTACAGTACCACTTGTCTCATGTCCAAGTACCTAAGTAAACAAAGGTAAGTAAATGGAACTCTAGAGCTGGAAGTACGGAGTCTCACCATTGGTTCCTTGACGACGAAATTTCCAATTGCACCATGGGTCCAGTAGTGGACGTCGGAGCCGCATATACCCACTGTGTGTACTCTAATTGGTAATTCTATTATTGAGCATATGTAAATACAAAAGTGATTCAGTACAGAAGGAAAATGCATAGTATTAATTACAGTTGGACATACAGTAACACTAAGGGAACTTGTATGAAGCCAAAAATAGATATTTTTCAGCGCATACCCTGACCTACGAAGCTACAAAACCTGTATTCCCTTCATATCTAAGAAGGGTGACACTTATGAGAAAGGTAAAATTGGAGATCTCACCCCGTCCAAACGTTGAGCTTTTGTTTGGACAACAGTCCAGATTTCTGGGTTTTCTTAAGCAGTACTGCTTGTTATGAAGTTGTTTCCTACCTGATCAACAGCTGATTGTCCGCCGGTGTGGGAATGTCCCTTTGCTCTAGGCGAATGTCGTCCACACCATACAGTACTGCGGACAAGTTGTCCGTAGTCATTACGCTGAAAGCAGCGCTGGGTTAAAGACAGTGGGCACAATGGCTGGGGCGAGCGGTTACTGTCTACTGGCAGAAGAGCTGCGAAAGGGCGTTTGGCCACACTCAGCCTTTCCACTAATAGCGTTGACAGTATTCGCCCACCCCAGCTTTTGCGCCCACCGCCTTTGAAGGAATGATTCTGTCAGATTTTTGAATACTGCACGGTTAGTGCATTGAAGAGGACTTGTCAGGAAAAACTAGAGAGCAAATGAGGATAGATATCAAGATGCGGTTTGGAGGGCACCCTAGCACGGGTTCGCTTCAGGACAGTCTACCCCCCGTGCCTTATACCCTTATAGATGTTATGGAATGAGATCAACAGCAAGGAGTTCAAGAATTACCTTGTCTCAAGGAAGCACTCGAGGTCGGGGGCGGGGGGGGCTCGTACGTGGGCCGCTGGAAGGGAAGGCAAGGTGTCGTTAATTTGTCGTCGCTAGGAGAGGCGAGGAGGGATCGCATGTGGCTTTCAAAGAGAAGGTTGCCGCCGAGGTCCCCGCGCTCGATGGAAATTTTTGGGGTGAGAAAATGGTTAGGAAGCTGGGAATTTGTAGGAACGGTGGTAGAGATATTGGAATAAGGGTGGGTCGTACTGACACCACCGTCTCGCCACCACATGCGATGCGGTTAACTCTGAACGGTAATGCTGCGTTCCCATGTGATCTCGTCTTCTCCTCCTTCCAGTCCATGCGAGCCAAAAAATGGCCAAAATGGATTTAGTAGTAGATTATGCTCTTTGTATTCGGCGTACGATAGAAAGCATCTTTGGAACCAATTTTACCGTCACCATTTGTCCCTCACGCCTGTCTCTGCCCTCTGACCCTTTCTCGAACCCTTAGAATTAGTCTGACGGAAAGATCGCACGCAGCGGTACCTTGGCCATCTAATCGCGAATGTCGCATCACTTTGATACGAAAACGCCTGACACCCACTTGGTAGTCGCCAATACCAAAGATTAATCATTGAAATGAAAAGTCACTGACTTAGTCAAAAAATCGGAAAAAAAGGGAAACAAGGGGAGGAGTGCCCTAAGGAGGAATCAAACAAGTTACAATTCTAGTGCGTGTTGCAAGGGTGCCAGACGTTTCCGTTCTAAACGTTCCCGGGGTCGAACTAGCGATGGGGACTCAAGCACACCTCCTTGAGCGTGCAAATTTATTGAGGCTAATATGTCGCGCCCCTATTTCCTTCAAAATTCTCAGATTGAAACTTCATAGTAATAAGCTGTTCTGGGAAAGGATTTTCTTCAGGGAGCTTGGCAACACAAAGTTGTATCCACTACAAACCTACTGCGCTAGCCAAGCTCGATCCAGTTTCAAAATCTTGTAAATGGCTCTCAGGTGCTAACATAACCTCAACAAGCGAACCGAGAGTACCGCTGCGAACTTTTAGCGCTTTTTTAGGAAGAGAGCCAGTATACAAAATAGAAACGACTGAATGGACAACAACGAAACGGAGCTGGCAACATCGAATCAATAATGGAATCGTGTGGCGAAACTATCATGTTACGGAAAGGAGACAGTGGAAGTGCAGCGCATTACTTTTTTGGGTCACTACACCTGCCAAAACTGCCACCTCGGGATGCGCCACGTATCTATCTAATACGGCGGGCAAACAATATGAAATGGAAAAATATAGCGCTAAAAAGGGTACTATGAAAATTATCCAACGACTGGTAGCGGACAGCTGATGTTAAAGCATCAGAGTACGTCTCCTAAGACAAGCCTCACTTCTGTCTTATCGGACCTGTGAAATTAGATCAGTCCTGAAAACGGCTAGGAATTGGTGGTACTCGGAAGGTGGGTCGAGGGCGCTGCTAAAGTAAGCAATGGTGATGCTGACGCGTGGAAAAGTTTGACCTCAGCCACGTAACCTCCCTTTTCCTATGATGCAAGCAGACTACTGGTGAATTTGCAGTAACCTAGCACCGCGAATGTCTTACCACGGATTTATGGACTCAAAACAGCGCAAGCGATTCCTTTTACGCCAAATAGAAAGTAAATAAATCGATTCGAATAGAAATCACAAAAATGGCCAATTAGAAGAGCAGGAATCCCGTCAAAACCGCAATATTACGGAAGAAAACTAGCGACTGATAAGATCAGAACCCATGTGTAATATCATCGATCAATGTTGCCGATGACCCCTGCATAGCCAATTGATAGACCACCAAATTGAAGTACGTAGGGCAATGGGGAAGCTTTTTGAAGCGATTCCCCGCATGCCAAGTAATTATTGAATTTTTGTTAATTGATTAATCATCATTTGGGAAACTATTCCGAAATAAAAAGGACCAATGAAGGCCTTCTGTTAGTTCATTGCAAGCTTCAGGACCTCACTGTTGAATACATCCATCTGGTTAAAATAGCTATGAAAAGAGGATGTAGTACCGGTTGGTATGAAATGGCGGTGTCACAACGACATCCCTCCCTCTTTCCACAAAAGGAGAATCTCGACACTACTTCACATCATGCTGCTCTGTTCTCCAACGGGTTCGCTTCCTATCCAATATTGCTGCCGGTCGTGGGTGGGTGGGGGGGTATTAGGAGGGAGGAATAGGCGCAAGCATCTTTGATAAATTTCGCAAGCATTACCTCGACGTACAGCCGATTGAAGAAATAAACGAAACACTTGAGAAGAAAAATGAAAATTGAAGAATTTCCGCCGACGCCAAGTATGATTACACCCCTTCCCCCAAACCCCACTGGAGTTTCTGAGCGATGATGTAGGCTGTACGAAAACATCGAATCGAGTATTCATAAGTACCTGTGAGAACGACCGAATATTGCAGTTAGGCACGAGGAAATGCTATACCTGAGAAAGAGTTTGATACAACTGGTTAGCATTTGGAAAAAACACGTGTGAAGAGCAAATGCGAGTTCTACGATTGAGATGCTTGAGAATTCGATTGTTCTTTCCTTGGGATGCTCCATGCACTCCATGGGTCTGCAGTTTGGTTCGCGTTATGTCACGCCGAACTTGAATCCCAGACCAAGGTGTTTCTAGGGGATGATAAAAGGTCTTCCTAGGGGATGGTAAAAGGATCAGTGCACTTCCTGTACAATTAGAACAATCTTAGTATCGTACTGAGTGCAATATAAGCACCTTCCCACAGTGATTGGGAATCTTGATGTATTGATGATGTCATTCTGATAGCTTATCACTTCGAAGACCTTGTGTGGAGATCCTTGACTGAATGGTGCTGCGAGAGAATCGATCAGCCTACAAGCAGCATCACTTACACGCTATCAGATGAACCTGTCCGTCTTCACGCACAGGTGCTGATAACAGTGCCACTTTCTCAGCTTGATTGCAAAAAATTCCATGCCCCTATAAAAGGGAGAAAAGCCCATCTCAGAACCTGTAAGCCCCACCATGCGAGCAGCTGCCGTCATCGCTGCTCTGCTACTGCAAAGTGCCGTCTCTGCGTTCGTCATTCCATTCAAGCTAGCCACTGTGTCCAAATGTGACTGCTGGAGGAGCCACAGTAACTTCTTTGACGCTTTTCAGCACGACTTCTGGGTTTCATGAGTTTATTTCAGCTTGAGCAGCATACACAAATCAAAGCTATTTCGTCAACCGAACATTAGTCACGTGGGAATCGCACCCACTTTCACGGTGATCATTGATACTGCCACATCTGACTTCTGGATTCCCGACAGCACTTGTACCACTTGCACTGGCAAGAGACTCTTTAACAGGTTCGCTGACAAATGAAATTTACCGTTTATTGACCCCTTCTTGAGGTAGGGTTTGGATTTTTTTTGGGCTTTTCTAAAAACACCGATTAAGCTCAGCAGAGCCTTTGACAATTCGCTGCAAGAGTGGCGAGCATAACCATCGTTCATCACGTGCCCCCCACCCTGATTCTTTGGTGAAGCTCCACATACATCAACAGCAAACAAATAGAGGAAAGACGTAGTCCGTGAGCGGGGGGGGGTGCATTTTGCCCTTTCTTTGCTTTATTTGATTTCGGTCTAGATGCCATTGTACCACTCGACTGTGAACTCTTGTGAACTGGAGCAAGCCTCCGTTGAGCCACTCAAGAACCTTCTAACTCTTGTAAACTCATTGAAACTGCTCAAGATGGATCAATACGTCGAGACCACGTAACCTAAGTGAGAAATGGCCCGCCCCCCCCTCCCGCAGTCGCTGACCTGCCTTAGAAAAAAACTGTCGACGAGTTGCCTCTACAGCATAGCCATAACTAGCAATGTTTCAGTCAAGTTCTTACTCTTTTCGTACTAGAGAACGTGGTACTTCATTTAGTCCAACATCATTCGGTGTTACGGGAGAAGGATTCCTCGGAATGGGACACGTGGGGTGGCTACTCTGTCCGAATTTCACTCATTCGCTGCACGAAAGTACGCCTGAGCTGACATATGAATGATCCGCCGTCGCGCAGTCAGGATGGCCGCTTCATACAGTGCGGCAAGCGTCCATCAGCGACTAGCTGGCGTCTCGAGGCAACAAAGTATAGGTGTCGCATCTAAAGGGCGACCAACAACGTCTAACCCGGGTGACTAGCGAACAGCAGCCTCACAGGGGTGGGGAGCATAGGGCGGTAGGATAGTGGCAGACAGCTGGTACCCTCCGACCGCCCCATACTCCCTACAAGCAGTCTCCTACCCTCCCATTTCCCCATACTATACCACTGTTTGTAACCCCACGATAAATTTCTGTTTAGCTCGCTACAGACGATGCCGATATGGTTACCATTCCAAACACGGATATAGGGCCAAGTGCTTGAGTTGCCTGCAGCGGTGTCTGCTTTGAATGGAGTTGATGGAGTGCTAGGCTTGGCATTCCCAGCCTTATCCAGCGCCTTTATGACCACTCCTGCCTTTATTAGAGGAGTCAGCCAAGGTAATATTTTAATGCCTTTGGTCTTCTCTAGCATTCTATCAAAATTCACTGATTTTTCTGTTTTTTTTTGTTCTTGACGTCAAGTAGTGCATGTAAGAAATTGGGTGCAACCGATTTGATCGAAATTATTTCCAGGTAACATTGCTCAATCGGTGTTTTCCATCTGGCTAGAAGAGCAGTGGCAAACGTCTGACAACGGCACTCATGGTGTCATTTATTATGGTGGTGAGTTGCCTACTATCATTTTGTTTCTATCAGATTCCCTTTGATATCTTTGACCATACGGAATCTTGGGATATGAAAACTCTCGAAATAGTTTCCGTGTGTCTGTCTAATACCGCAGTTCACGCTCCACTTCACTAATATGGCAATATCTGCAGAAGCTGAATTATGCCAAAATCATCTCAGAACAAGCTCTAGAACAGATCAGAGCCAAAAAATCAAGATGCGCCTCAAACATTCCAAGGCTGAAGGTGGGCAAGCGCAAATTTCTGCAGAGGGTAGAAGGAAGAAATGAGTGAGCACCTCGGTGCCCTGGATGGCAGGTGGACGGCGTCTCCCTTTCCTTTCGTTACCTCATAACTCGGTTGGAGGAATCTTTGATTTCCGGACCAAAACAGATTTAGAAAAAGAATATGTCAGGGGAGTCACAGTCTTGTTTACTGCGGGTGCCGGGACGTAGCAGGACCGGGTGTGGAGCAGCGCCACTCTGTTTCTCACCAATTGTTGGTGCTTCGCTTCAACAACTGGTGGTGAAGGGGTTGGCGCTGCTCTAAACTCAGCCACTCATACGCCTCAACATCCGCAGCGAACAAAACGAGTTTGAGGTGACCTGAGAGGGGCCCGCCCATGGTGGGCGGAGCGTGCCTTTGAGCGGGAAGTGCAGGTGGGAAACTTGTGAGTTGATTACAGAGCAGCTGTTCGTTGGATCCCGTGCATTTCACTGTGTTCGATCTCAGGTTACGATCTCGTCCATTGTCGTGCTAATCGCAGTTTTGCGACGCTGTCGTCAGCTAGCTACTTCCAATTCACTATGGCAAATGTATATGTAGATGGCTTTGGAGTAGCCAAGAGAATGCAGGTTAGTAATCTTCTCCACGTTAAACTTGATGAATTCATGTACGGGCAGGATCGTGAAGATAGCAGGCGCTTCTAAGTGAATCTCCTGGAGAGCTCCTATCTTATGTACAGGGAGTATGTCGTAAGATAACCATAATATGCCAGTCTAGTCGTGGTGAGCGACGCCGCGCACGCAAGGGACGAGATGTCTCAACCTGCCGTTTGAGTTTGAACATTGAAGGGACGGAAAAGGTCAAAAGGGAGTCCTGCCTCCGCTTGAATTCTCATGGGCTTGGCCGCTTCTATCGATAAACTGACACAGTTCGAGAATTTGCCGTTCGCGATGCGCCGCGTGCGACGGCGCGGCGAATTACGATTGTGCTGTCCGTTTGCCACAGGGACATGCTAAATACAAAACTCAGTTGAATTGACTAACACCTCCATTTTCAGACAATCATCACCTCAACGTCTCCTTACATCAAAGTGCCAACCACTATATTCATGACGATCCTGAACTACCTCAATTTGAATCAAGACGTTCCGCTCCCGGCACAGGTAAGGGCCATGCCGATTCGGCAGGCGCAGTCCACACTGATCGAATGGGCGGAGTATACTCGCGCTCTATCCTCTCTAACACTGTAAAGAGAAGGGAGCGTCAATGAAGCAGCGTTCAGACTTCGCGCTGAGAATAGGAAGGTACTAGACTGTGCTTGCTAGACAAGTTAGAACGCGCACCCTCCTGTTGTCTGTACTCTCTCAGAACACAGGCGGCCGAAGCCGATCGATACCGGTGTGGGGTGCGTTCCTGCATATAATATTGAAGCGCCGCAGCGGGGAGCGCTCTGACGCAAACTCTGAACGCTGCCTGTGTAGGCCACACTCTTCCCATATAATCAGTGTGAGCTGCACATTTGCTGGAACTAGTTCAGCGCGCAACCTTAACCAATAAGGTGCGTAGTGCCGATTTCGGTTGTTTCAGGTGGACTGCAACACGAAACTAACGCTCGGGTTTGATATCGGTGACGGTGTGGCGCTTATGGTGACCGAAAGGAACCTAATCTTGACGAACAACGACGGTACCTGCACATTAGCAGTGCTGCCAACAAGTGCAGATAGTTTCGACCAGGGAAAGCACATCGAACTGGGTATTCCGTTCCTACGTGGACGTTGCACGTACTTCGATACGGGCCTTCAAAGCCTTGGAGTGGCTGACGCTATACAGCATTGAGTGAGATGAACAGCATCTACACTCATCGCTCCTGCGAACAATAGGGGTGCGATAGGGGTGTGGCTCGGAATGCAGTCGCGGCA